ATCACAAAATCGTTCAAGTATAGTCTGTTGTCCATAAACGTCACAAACGTAGTTCTAGACATAGTATAGTATGTCATCAAAGTGTAGTGATATAAATGATCACAGAGACTCCCGGGTTTCGGCAGCGAATGGGGGTTCTCCAGTAGTTTCCCAGACTGGGATAAATAAAGTATTTTTCTATTCTATTCTATTCTAAAACCGCTGCATCATTGTATGCTGGGAAAGTGCCTTACTACAGCGTAACAAATACCGTTTATCATGTTGCATAAAACATCTTAGTAGTTTTTAGTAATTTTAGTTGAAGCCTGATGTTTTGAACATGATAATACGTTGCATCTAAATATTGAAGAAGACATTCCATGTTGCAGAACTGAGCGGCTTCACAAACCAAAGTGAAGCTCACACACACACAAGCAGCAGCTGACGCAGCATCACAGCTTCATTAATGAAGAAACGCTGGAGGAGGTCGACACTCACGAGCTGACACAAGCCTGGGTGTTCATTACCGTCACAGTCCATCCCCCCACAGTGGCCTCCTCAGGGACGGGGAGTCTCTGTCGGCCTCTGCACGGCAACACAACATTCGTCAACGCACAGCACACCAACACACTAAGTAGCATCAACACCAGATAAAACACAGATGATAAAAAACAGACCAACAAACATTGTGGTGTTTGTGTCTCCGGGCTCTCATGACCTCAGAGACTCAACAGGAAATTGAGGCCAAGTGTTTTTTTGTGTTGAAACATCAGGAAATGGACGAAATGAAGCAACACTGACTGTCCTTTACTTCAAACACTGTGAACTGCTGCTTCGTGCAGATACCGGGACTCTTTATTACCTCTCAGCGATCCGATCTGGACTTGAGGGATGTTGCTCAGGTCTGCGGGTAAACCCACGTACACGCCTCCGTAGTTCCTGATCAACACAGTCACACGTGTTACGGATGTTTTACGGATAGAAACAGATTCTACATGTAGAAGAAAGACTCACTTTCGTTTGTCGTCTTCTGCCGCCGCCTCGTCTGATCTGTCAACGCAGACGCACATTAAAACCTGAACACTGAAGTCGGCGGATTTAACATCACAGAAAGGTCAGACATACTCACAGCTTTGATGGGAACTCAGCACGACCTGAACACAAGGAAGACCGGCAGTCACAGTCGGTTTCTCTTTTTTAAATCAATCTGACATTTACAGAACCGAAATGTTGTGTTTTTATCATGAAGGGACACGAATTCAATCAACAACAACAACAAGAACAACACGAGTCAAAATAAATCTAAAGACGAGAAACGAACGTGAATCTACTGTTAGCTCAGAAACAACAGGAAGTTTGGATGGATGGATTCTTAGTGGAGCTCGATAAACGGACGTACACGACAGAGGTGCATAAATGTTACACCACAGAAAGTAAAGTATTCAGTGACCAAAACTAAATCATTAAAGGGTCCAAAGAGATGTGAAGTGACATGAAACAACCACACAATTGGTCAAAATGGCTACGAAGGGAAGCTGAAACCACAAAGAGGCCATGAAGACGGCCGAAATGGACACGAAAAGAAGCAAAGTGATCGACACCAAGACACCATGAAGGTATAAAAGACGCCCAGAAGAAGACGCAGAACAGCAAAAAAACCAAGACCAATATATAATATATAATATATAATGTGGAGAGAAATGACCACGAGACACAAAACCAGCAAACAGTGGCGACAAAGAGTCGAAAAATTAGATGCAAAACTAGAACGGAGACAGAATCATCATGAGTGACTCAAAATTGACCAAAATAAGACACAAAACAATCATAAAGACACTAAACTAATAACCTGTGACACACAAAAGGGATCTGAGACGCAAAATAGACGCAAGACAAAGAGAACGAACACAAGAAACAGTTCTGTGACGTTCACGTGTTCATTTTTTAAAACTTCCTGTTGTAGAAATCTTCCACAAGAACATTAACAAAAGTTCTGAAACAGTCCAGCCGCCGGTTTGTTCTCGTCTCTGCATCTTCTGCTGTTTCTGTCCCGATAATAAGCTCAATAAATGAGCCTTTAACAGAACAGCAGGACAGAAAAGTTTCTGGAACAACTGGAATCGGTTTTCTGTCGTTTCCATCGACACGCTTCTCACCTGCAGAGCTGCTGTTTGTGCTGATGGTCGGCGACGAGTTTCCACATCCCATCTCCCACTCGACTCCACACAACCTTCAACAGAGTTATGAAAGAGAGACGAGAGAGCAGAGCGGCTCTGACCAGGATGAGAATGTTTTTCCTCTGAACTGTTTCTGCCTCCTGAAGCTCTCAGCGGGAAGCTCAGATTAAACTGGAGGAGGAGGAGGAGGAGGAGGAGGAGGAGTTCTCATCCTGCTGTTCGGGGAGCAGAAACTCTCCGGTCGCTGTGTTGTTCCTCCGACTCTCCACGCAATCTGAAGAAGCAGATCAAAGTCCGTCACAACCCAGTTAATTGGAGCGTTTCAGAGCTGAACTAGAGGCGAGTTTAGAGGTGGAAGCAGACCTGAAGGCATCGTGGAACAGAAATAAAGACGAGGCAGAATCATCACGAGATGCCAAATGACCACAAAGACAGAAAAACTAAACTGAAACTGGAAATCACACGAGTCCAAAACCATAAAGACACAAAGGACCCATCAAAGCATCACAGAGGCACCACAACGACCCACAGAGTGACCAGAACGAGACTCGAACCCCCACAGAGACGAGAAAAACGACAAATTAAACCCTAAATTAAAGGCGTGAAACCACCAAACTGACACTAAACCGCCTCAAAGAGAAACCCAGAGACAGAACATGTGATCAAGCAACTACGAAACCACAAGGCGACAACAAAGAGCCACAAAACAACCACAAACTGACAAAACCACCATGGTGACCCACAATGGACCGTAAAAACCACAAAGATGCCATGAATTGAGCCAAAATGGCCGCCGCCAAAGCAAAGACCCAAACAAGAAAAGTGGCATCAAAGCATCACCCAGAACCACCAGAGAACTTAAAATCAAATGACCACAGTGATGCTTAAAACCAAAATGACCAAAAATTCACTAAAAATACAAAATCTGCGACATTAGTTGGTAACAGAAAACCAGGAGTGAATCAATCAGGACTCCTCGTCTTGATCTGTCAAATATCTGAGGAAGAGACACAACCGACCAAAAATGAGACACTAACACCCAGAGAATGATCACAAAGAAGCATAAAACTCCGACAACGACCAACATTAAAGGCAAAAACACCAACAAACCCTTAAAACAACCAAAGTGATGAAACCCTAAAGCGAGCTAAGACGACAGAAAAAGACGCAAAAAGACAAAAAATCTGATTAAAACCACAAAGATGCACGATGACAACAGTGACACTCGAAAACAAATAAAAATGATGATTAAGAGGCATTTAAAGACATAAACCAGAAACAAAATCTTCTACTGGAACCACTTTCAAATCTGGATTTAAAGACTCAGATTCTGCTCCATGATTGGCTGAATGATCACATTCTGCTCTGTGATTGGTTGAATGATCACATTCTGCTCCATGATTGGCTGAATGATCACATTCTGCTCTGTGATTGGCTGAATGATCAGACTCTGCTCCGTGATTGGCTGTTGGTACCAGAAGTTGTAAAACCAGCAGAGCTCATCGCCTTATTTCCTTCAGATCGAGCCTCCATCGCTGCCATCAGGGCACAAAGCGACTCGGATCGATTGGTTCCTGCCGGTTCTGGAAACGACTCGACGACTCACGCTGAGAGTTTTTCATCAGACGCTCTGAACTCAGTTTAACGCCATGAAGGTGAAGGAAGCTTTGCAGCTTTTATAAGACGAGGCGCTTCACGCTGAGCTGCTGTTCGTGGACGTTTGAGGTTTACTGGTGCAGGAGAAGAAAAATGTAGAGAAACAAAAAGTGTAGTTCTGCATTAGGAACACAAGGAGGCAGCGTTGACTCGTTTATCTCCACTGATTCATTAACTGGTGATCAGAGCATTTGTCTAAAAATAAAAGTTAAAGTACAAAAAGTCTCCAAACTGTTTGTCTGCATCAGGTTCTGTGAAATAAAATGCAGATAAGTCAAAGTTTTAGTGGCTCATGGTGCAGAAAAAACCCACTTCTGCTCAGTTTTCACTTCATTAATTAATTCTAAATCAGCTCTAAATGATGCAGAATGAACCCAGAGAAAATCTAAATAACAAATATTCATCATAAACGTATTTTTCTGAAGTTTCTTGACATTTACCAACAGTGACTGTTGTTTGTGCATTAATAGATTTACAGCAAACACGAGCTGCTGGCTGCTGATTCAGCTTTTAATGGTGACAAACGAGCAGCTAAAGGCCTGAAAAAGGATTTTTGCTTTTTAGGATGCAACTGAAAAACGAGGCTGACTTCAGTTTGTTAACGAGGTTTGTTGCTTCACAGGAGAATTAATCAACGTCTGATGCGTCTGTAAGAAGCACGAGGTGGAAAATTCACACTGAACATTTAATGAATATGGAAAAAGTCGCCTGTTTGAGCCACGACTGGGATTCAAACTCTGCTCATGAGAACAATCGGTGGACGCTTCAGGTGTTTGGAGCCAAAAAAAGACAGAAATGGATAAAAATAAGGAATAAATACGAACCAAACACAGACTGATGATGATTTTAATTATAAACAAATCCATAAAATAAAGATGAACATTAAGAAAGTGTTTTTATAAATATAGGAGGAAGAAAAAGAAAGCAGACACAACTAAATTCACTTTTTTTGTACCAAAACAAGAAAACAGATGAAACATCAACCAATAATGCAGAAACAAAAAGAAAACAATAAAAAGTTTGACATGATTTGAATTCATTAGAAATAAAAGATGGAAGCCAATTTATAGCAAACCAGCACTAAAAAAAAGAGAAAAAAAGATTGTTTTGATCGAACGTTGAGGCTCATCCAGGAAAAACATCTATGAGAAATCATAAATGAAAATAAAAACACTCACCTGATGTCTGATGAAACGATATTTAATAGAGTTTTGAAATATGAAGAAAAAAATGTTGCTTGTTGAAAATAAAAAGTCAGTGTGGCTGAACGTTATCATGAATTTAACAGAGTTTTAATTTAAAAATTTTTTTTTCTTCCTTTTTCTAAAATGTGTGTTCTAAAAATTCTATAATAAACCAACTTTGGCTTCATCTTAAAATTTAATTTGAAAATATATTCTTGAACTCTTAAAACAAAATCTCATAATTTATATTCTTTTACTCTTTATGTCAACATGCTTTTATTAAAAAAAATCTTACAGTGAGCTTATATGTGGCACAAAATAAATGTTTTATATCATCATTTTAAATTAATAAAATTACTTTGACTGATTCTCTAAAATATTTTATGATTGTAATTTAAAATGTATTAATTTTGCCTTTTTATCTGATAATTTTTATTTACTTTCTCAAATTTCTGAGTTTTTTTTTTTTTTTAAACACAATTAAATATAAATATAGTTTAAGTAAATTATAATTTATTATCTAGTATTATTTCTTGTAATATGTACATTTTAAATATTCTATTTTTAAATCAAGAACCTGGACTCCAAGAATAAAACAGTTTCACAGTTTTAAACTCTTGTAATTTAAAAAAAAATCACTTAAAAAAAACAAAACTTTTTACACGTTTCAAAGCTTGTGAATCAGGATTGTTATTAATACTGAATTATTATCTTTGTAAATCCAAACTTTGTGTCTCACAATTACAGTTTTAAATTCTTTATTTTGCAGTTTTGACTCAATATCTCATCATCTGAAGGAACCAAATCAGAGATTAAAGGCGACACAAAGACGACAGACACGATCATTATATTAGAATTTCTCCTTTATTTGTCATTTTAATGAGATTTCCTTCGAGCATCAACCAAACAAACGTCAGTTCACAGTTTTGTTGTTTGACTGCAACCAAACAGAAAAAAAGGCAAAAACTAAAACGAGGTCCGACGTCTGAGGAGCGACTGAAGCCTGCAGTCGCCTCAACATGGCACAGAGGAGTTCAGCTTCATTATCACACAGTACAAAAGTAGAAAAAAAACACCTGACATTTGGCAATAAAATAAAATAAAATAAAGCTGGAATCTGGAGATAAATATGCAGAAGGCCGCTGAGTTTCTGTCCTGGAGGCGTGATGATAAAATAGAGATAAATCACTTTATTCTACACGTAAAACTTGTCAAAAAATAAACCGTTTGCAGGAATAAAATTCTGTAAAAAGCACAAAATTTCTGCAATTCTTCACGCAGATATGAAGCTTTAACTGACTCAGCTGCAACAAAAAGTCATGTGGCTAAAATTCAGAGAGTTTTGAAGTGACCTGCAGGCTGAGAGGAAAATAAAAGCATCAATAAAATAGATGCAGCATGAACAGAGGAGCCAGTAGTTGTTGATACGATCAACACTGTGAAACGTTTCTAGAGGGCAGATTGGTGTCGATGTAAAGACTCTGAGTCTCTGATCAGCTGTTTTCTTTTGTTGTCTCGGTATCAAACATGGCCGACGCCAGCTGACGTGAATGAAGGATTTCTACTTTCCAGATTGAAAACGATTCGTGAACGATTGTTTTTCTCGACAAAGTTTTGTTGTTTTTTTTCCTTCTTCTTTGAGAGTTTTTAGTGTTTTTTTTTCCCGGCTTCCTAGACTTTATCTATTCCGGCTAGCGTAGCTTTTAGCGCCACCTTGTGACGACGCTCCGCAGCCTCAAAACAAGCCTCACTTAAATGTTCTTTTACAGTTTTTCTTACGACCCTTCAAAAGCTAAAATAAACTTTAGATTTGCTTGATAATTACGTGCAAACGGGTAAAAATCAAGACCAGATTTTAAAATCCTTCTCCGCACAATTAAAACCCTGAAAGACGACGAGCTCCATTGTCGCACCAGATTTTCCCAACATGGAAGTTTGTTTTCAGGAGCCTAATTCACGTTTTATTTTAACAAGTTTGCCTAAAACTGACATGCAAACCCGAGAGTTACTGGTGGAGAAACCAAATGTTTGTGCAAAAACACAGTTTTTGCGAGTTTCACTTACGATTGAGGCCTGAAGATGTAAAGCCAGGCAGCATTTCACAATAAAACAAGCAAAAATCCATAAAAATATCTGACTCAGAGCTGTGACTCCCGGTAAAATCAAGAATAGATTTTAAAATTCTTTCTCATCACGTACAAAAACCTTTAATGACGGAGCATTTTATTCTCAGCTTTTATTGTGGTTTGTAGAGTCTAAAAAAGTCGCTGGGAGGCAGATTTTCCAAAGGAGGTAATAGAAAGAAGCCTGATTTGCATCTTATTTTTTCCTTTTTTTGCGATATTTCATAAGTTTTCTTTAAAGAATCTAAAAACAGTCGTTTTCGCAGCGGAAAAACACAAATGTGCAAAAACAACGTTCGTTTAATGTATGTTTGGGGCGTAAAGCTGAGCAGCATTTCAAAATAAAATCATCAAACTATCTGATTGTTTGTCTTCTAAACCAATCAGAGCCGCTGGTTTGGGCTGAACAGGTCGACTGAAGGACCGAAGCCTCTTTGATCCTCGGACGCTTTAATGTTCGGCGTCACCGGGAAGCGTTTCATTTCACAGCTCGTGTCGCCGTAATTTCCGCCCTCGACTCCTCCGATGTTCCTTTTCTTTTCTTTAAACGCTTCCCCCTTTTCTAAAAACGGCCCTCTGCCCTGCTGGTGCTAATTTTAAAGTGCTTCTCCTCCACATGCGACGCTCCGGCTACAACCTCTCCGTTAATCTTATCGCCGCTTCACAAGCCGGAACGTCTCAGCGGGGAGGACTTCTTTTAATCCACGGACCAAATCCTCGGGCCTCTTCCCTCCCGTGACCCCTTTAAATACAACAAACCGTCTTTTGAAGGAGGAAACTCCAGATTTAAAACCCGTTCATTCCTCTGGATAGCGTTGCTCTTTGCGTTATTATTGCAGCTTCGAGGTGAAACTCTCCTCAGGTTCCTCACCGTGTTCCACATTCAATCCTGAGTTCTTTCCTGCTTTTACTGACTCAGGACTTTAGTTTTTTTGCACATATTCAGCTCTCAGTGGTTAATTTAAACTCTCGGGAGATTTTCAGTGTCCTTTCTCCATTAAAAAAAACAAGTATAAAAAAGAAAATACCATAACAAATAGTCACAACGGCAGTATTTTGCAGCCAAATACGAGATTGTTTCCATTTAAATCACTGCAAATGGCAAAATAAACGTTTCTGTGCAACTTTTTGTGTCAATTCGACGGCACATGAATTGACCAAAGCGAGCCAACTTGGCAGTGTTGAGTTTTGAGGCAGCAAAGAGTCAGAAAAACAAAAAAAAATTAGGAAATTCTTGTAAGTTATCAGGTAAAAGTTCACGCAAAGTGCGATCGAAAAGTTCCAAGACTGTCACGTACATGTTCGATTAGCAACTGTCAACAGTCAACACATCACAAGAAAGTTGTGTTATCAACATCTGGATCTCTGTTACACGTTTTTGTGACCACCGCTAGATGAAAATAAAGATTGTTCCTAAAACTGGATCAGAACGAGAACATCGCGTCTGACCTGAATGTAAAGGATCGTCACCAGAGGAGGGTCTGCAGCTACCATCAGGAGAAGAAACAGCAGTTTGTCACAGTACAAGAGCTCAGAGAGTCTCAGAACAGTCACATGCTAGTTGTTGCCTCCAACATTCATGCGGTTGTGAATCATGAATTCGTTCATCGGGGTCGGACAGACTTCTACTGTAACCAAACCGCCTCAACGTTTGGCACAATGTCATGCAGATTATTTGGTCACAACAACACAACCGTCGCCTTTCACCGGCCCTACTCTCTAGGTTTAACTCACCCTGACTACTTCCTCTTCCCCCACAATGAAGTTAACGGTTCCCATCAGTAGATTTAGCTCTTAATCGCAGGTGGTGCTTGACATATTTACACATCAAAACTTCCAGAGAGTGTGAAGCCTTGATTGAACACGAGTGCCGACAACCCCGGACACGTAGGTGTTGGTCTGCCTAAAGAACACCATTCCATACCAGCGCAGTAGCTCATATTTACGTATCCTGTTCATGCTAGATAGTAGAACACACTGTTGTCCTTGTTGCCAACCCACGGATTCACATTTTGGTCTGCAAAAGGATGTCTGTGGTGAAATCTACATGGAACTGGTGGGATGACAAAGTTCCTGTCGTGTTAAAGGTGTTCCAGGAGCACCGGGAGCAGGGCGTCGTTGCTCGAGTAGCCGACTCCGACCGAGCCAAACTTAAGTCAGGCTTTACATTGAGAACTTTCTGGTTCCACCTCGTACGAACTCCTGTGATGGAGTCTAAACTGCTTCACAAAGTTAAATTAAACTGTGTTAAATTACTGTGAACAAGCTAGCCAGCTAGCTAGCAAGCTATCCTGATGCTCCAGATCAGTGCTGGTTAGCATGTTAGCTTCCGAGCAGGAGTCATTTTCCATTTATCCCTGTGAGTATTAATTATCTGTGTGAACTTGGTTTCATACAAACAAATGTTACATTTCATCAAGCTGGCTAGTTAGCAAGTCAGCTAGCTTTGCCATTAGCCAGTAGACCTTTGATAGCAGATATTCTGAGTTGTTGTAGCAGGACGAACACAGGCGTGACTAAAGAGTGATGGTGGTTCATGTTCTAGTATCTCAGTGAGCCATGAAGATGGTGAATCTGACAAAACTTGAGATATTTGCAACAAATTTCATGCTTTGCTGAAGTGAAAAAGCAGCAACAGCAAAATGTGACATGAAGCATCTCGAAATGCATATTCTGATCGAGATTTTGAATTTTTTTTTACAGTTTGAGCTTTAACTGGAGCTTTTTCTTTAATGTGAACTTGTTTTTGCCTTTTTTTTATCAGCCAACTGAAAAACTAGCGCTGTTTGTATTTAAATGAGCATTTATTACCAAATTTCTTGATAATTCTGTAAAATCTGCAGCTGGTATATACGCATTTAGGGATCCTGAAACTGAAACAGCTAAAAAAAAATAATCAAAAATGTCATAAAAAGTGACACAGTATAGTATGTAATAATAAATACAATCTAGTATATCTTAATAAAGGTCGTAAAAACTACGTGGTATAGTATGTCCTCAAAAAAAGTCGTAAAAATTGTCTTAGTATGTCGTCAGAATTGTCGTAGTGTAATACATCTTTTAAAAAATCCTAAAGAACGTCTTAGTACAGTGTATCTTAAAAATGTCATAACAATGACGTAGTATCGTACATCTTCAAAACCGTAATTAAAACGTCGTAGTGTAGCATGTCTTAAAAAATGTTGTTAAAAAAGTCAGTCGTGTATCTTCTAAAATGTCATAAAAAACTTCTTTGTATCTTTAGAAATGTAAAAATGTCGTCGTGTAGTACGTCTTCAGAAAAGCAAATAAAACGTTGTAGTGTAGCATGTCTGAAAAAATGTCGCTAAAAAAGTCTTGCGTATTTTCGAAAATGTCTAAAAAAACATCATAGTATTGTATGTATTAGAAACTGTCGTAAAAACGTCTTAGCATAAAGTGTTTTTAAAAAATATGGTATTAGTTCCACGCCGTGCTTTTCCTGTTGCAACAAGTCATAAAAGCCTGTTAGCCTGTTAGCCTGTTAGCTTGCTAGCAGTCAGTGACTTCCAGGTTTTGTTTTTTTGAGAACATACAAAGAACCTCGCTGCGCCTCTTTCAGCTGTGACCAGCACTTCGTTCTCTGCTGTGGTTCGTCTTTCTTCCACCAGATCAGGTTTTTGGCCAAACCGGACCGGACTCGACTCCCAGCCGCCCCTTTGGGAATGTCTGGCGGACGCCGTGTTTCTGTTCGTCTTGATGTCGGGTGTTGCTGCTGGAATCGAACCCGCGACCTCCCGCTGACCGAACCTTCAGTCGATGAGCGATCTTAGGACCGCCACCAGGCTCAGCCCCACCGCCGACCCGCTCCACGTGGGCGCGGCGGCGGCTCCGCCCACCTGCTGCAAGGTGTGGTTGCAGGTCGGCGTGGCGTTCGTCGGGGTCTGGTCCGTCGTCGTGGCGATGCGTCGCAACAGGAAGTCGTGCTTCATGGCGGAGAACTGATCGGGGCCGTACGGGACGTCGAGGGTCGCCGTCAGAACCTCGTGACCCGGATACGTCACCTGTCAATCAAAGAAACCAGGAAGTGAAAAAGGTTAGCAAGGAAGGAACGTAAAGCCTCCGTCTAGTCTGTTTAGGCTGATTAGAGAGTTTTACTGTCATCAAACCTACATAATCCTCATTAATAATAATAATAGAATAGATTCTTTTCTACATTATTTATATCATCTAGGTTCCTCTACACATTTAATTACACTGCAAGACCTTAATATGGGTAATAGTTGGGTAAAGTTGTATTTTATATCATTTTTGTTGAGTTTTAATCATTCATGTTTAAATTACTCAGGTAAATTCACATTAAAAATAACACTACAGGGTTTAAATATTCATTACAGCTGGGCAAAGTTGCTTTTTACATAGTTTTTGTTAAGTTTTAATATCATAATAACTTAATTACACTGCTAAATTCACATTGAAATTAACACTGTAGGGTCTTAATATTGAATATAGTTGGGCACAGATGTGTTTTATACAGTTTTGTAGGGTTTTAATCCTTAATATTTAAATTACTCACATTATAATACCACCGTGGGGTCTGAACCCCAACATTTTACCTGGTTGGGTTAATTTGTGAGGCCAGTCTTATTCTATTTACTGGAAAACACTTTGACTGAGCTGCTGTTGCTTTAAATATGCTCACATACTGTATAAATGAATTGACTTGACGCGGTGCGTTCATGTGCTGGTGGAACCGATCTAAGGTGAGGTTCAGGTTTCATGGTTAACGGTTGGTTAGTTGTCCCAACATATAGCAGTAAAGATAAACGTGTTTACTGTGAAGCTGTAGTTTCCCGGCAGCAGCAGTCGGTAATATTCTCCGTGTCGGTCGGTTCTGAACGGACACAAGTTCCTGCGACCTTTGACCTCCACCACAGCGTTCTGCACCGGAACCCCAGAACCATCGAAGACCCGGCCTTTGACTCCTGAACACGAACAAACAGACGGACATGTTATAGGTCTGGATCCTGGTTCGGTTCAGGGGGGTAAAGAGTTACAGGTAGACAACAAGACAGGTGAACAGGTGTACCGACCCAGGTGGACCTGCTTCATGAAGGCCAGCAGAGACTTCCTGTTGTCCGTCCACAGAGCAGGAAGTTGAGCTGCAGGAGGAAACTTACAGCAGGAAACCTCCAGAGTCAGTTCAAGACACTGAGCCCAGACGTAGTTGTAGTCCTGCATCCCACCTGCACACACACAACAGACACACAACAGACACACAACAGTTAGCATACATGTAGTCCTGCATCCCACCTGCAGACACACAGACGACTCTGTCATTTATTGCATCACCTTGTGTCTCCTTTGTGACGTCTCGTGTCTAGTTTTTGTCGTTTTGTGTCTCATTTATGTTGTTTTGCGTCGGCTGTAATCAGCACATTTGTTTATGAACTAAACAAACGTAACACTACATGACAATAGATATTTGACAGAACCCAACCAGCCTTCTCCCAGTGTTTGTGCTAAGCTAAGCTATGCTAAGCTAAGCTAGCCGCCTGCTGAACCAGGGTCTCCGTGGCGACCGGCCCACCTGACAGAGGGTACCACTGGTATCCGTTGGTGATGCCGTCCAGGAAGGGCCGGCTGTCGTGGCAGACGTCGCCGCGGTGCATGGAGGCGTGGTTGTGGGAGTACACCTTGGCCAGGTGGATGAACACGTCGTCGTCGGGGGAGACGCTGGCTCCGCCCACCAGCTCGCTGCCTGTAGAGTACGGAAACAAGCGAACAGTGTTTTTATGATCGTTAAGCTTCTGACAAACGTGTCGGTTCAGACAGAATCCAGGAAACATGCTGACGCAGCAGTTTGTCTCAGTGTTGATTTCTAAACATTCAGCAAAACCAGGCAGATATAGAACATATAGAAGATAAAAACACCTGTTTCTGGTTCCTACCAACGAGTCCACACCAAGATTTTGTTAAATATCAACAAACTGGACCCTCGTCTTATCAAACTTCCCACATATTAAATCCTACTGATGTCAGAGCCTCAACAGTTGGTAAAACGTCGACCAAAGACTGGATTTGTAGTAGAAACATGGATCCATCCGTCTGTCTGAGGCCATCACACCACCCTCGATTGAACATTTTGCACTTGTTCTCCATATTTAAGGCTTGGAATTATTTGGTTTTGTCATTTTGAGCCAGTTTCATTTAATTCTGGTTAAACCGTGAGTCGTCCGAGAGGCGTTTTGAGCCAATTTGAACATGTTTAGATTAATTTAAAGTTATTTTAGACAAGCTTTCAGTAGTTTTGTATAATTTTAGAGTTATTTAGGACATTTAGGAGCCTCAACAGTTGGTGAAATGTTGACCAAAGACTGTATTTTTTAGCAGAAACATGGATCCATCCATCTTTCTGGGGCCATAATAACAACCTTGTTTGTAAAATTTGCACTTTTTTTTACCATTTTCAAGGACCAGTAACTAAAAATTTGTCCCCCATTGGAGCCCTTCAGTCATTCTGATCTGCTGGAAACTATTCTGTCTGTATCTCCACCAAAGTTCACGGCTGTGGGAGTTTTATTTCTGGAGATGTTGAACCTTCAAAATGACTTTTTTTTTTTTCATTTTTTCCAAGATATTTTTCTTGAAGGTGAAAGTACCAAAAAAATAGCAAAAAAAAAAAAAAGCAGACTCTGAAAACATATGAAGTTGTCAGAATTCAGCCAAATCACGCTACGGAAGTTAGTTTTGGGTTCTGAATGACAAAATAACAAAGTGAACTCATGTTTTATTTCCATTCCAGCAGCAGTTGGACAACTTTGTGCCGTCTTTGTCTTTTTTTTAACTGTGTTCATTTGTAGAGTCTGTTTGGTGCAGTACCAGCAGCTGCCAGCAGAGTGCGCACTAACACTGCTTTACTCTGACATGCTGTGAGCTTTCAGGGTCTGACGCTCGACTTCTAAACTCTAATTCAACTAACCTGCTCCCACAGATTAATCTAATCTATGGCTGCAAGATGAATAAAAATAATCTAATTTACAGATGTAGATAAACGTTTTAAGCTACAGATATTATGTTGTTGCGTTGGTAATCACGCTAAATTAGTATTAATTTAAACTCAAATTTCTGCACCAGTTGATTTAAAACTAAACCGAAGTTCAAGTAACTTCCAAACATTGGCTTGACAACGTCACAATAATTAAAAGATTCCAGAAACACCAGTTGGAACGACTTGAATTTGACGCGTAATCAACTTAAAAACTTGTGTTTACGCCACTAATCATAGAGTAATTAAACGTACCTCTGATTGAACAGGAAAAGCTCGTTCCAGTCGCTCAGTGCAGTTTAACTGTTGATCATAATTACATCAGAAGCTTTCTTCACTCTTCATTCATTCTGTTTGTTTTTTCAGAGTGTATGTTTATCCAAAGCCGTTTCCTGTTTCCTGTTTCACACTTTGACACAAAAGGAAAGACCAAAAGCCCCGCAGGCTAATCTCAGGAAACCAGATCTGGTCCAGGGACTGTTGTGGACCACCGAGTCGAGTCTCCTCATCAAACAGTTTGTGTTTGTGTGTTTACCTCCGTTGTCGTATGGATAGCTGGCCACCAGAGCTCCTCCGTGGAGGTTCGCCGACAGAACGAAGGTCTCGGTCCTCAGCCAGCCCATCACGGCCCTCACCTGGAGCACAGCAGCAGGTTTCAGGTGTTAAAAGGACATTCTCACGTAGTTAATCCACATTTGGTGTTTGAGTGAGTCTTTGTAGCAGCAGGATGAAGCAAACTGCCATGTTGCTGCGTCATCTCTAATTTATTTTTACAAAAGAAGCCATTTTAAAGGTTCAGTATCTCCAGAAATGAAACTTGTACGGCTGTGAAACTTGGTGAGGACGCAGACGGAATAGTTTCTAGCAGTTCCAAAACAAAAGTGAAACTAAACCGAGTCCGCCTGTGACGTCCCGTCAGTCTAACGGCATGAACATGGTTCTAAAATGAGCAGTGAATTTCCTCAGTTCTGGGCCTATTGGTTGTGTCTACGTCTACATCAAGGCTCCACGTGGAAAAGAATTTAACAGAAGAGCTAAAGAATCTGAATGTCAGAATTCACAAGAATGGAAAAGGATCCAGAAAGACCAACTAAAAATCAGTGGAACCCAGTTACAGCAGGAGGTCCAGAAGGAGCCATGGTGCCACTAACCAGGGCTGCAGTGGTCGCTATGAACAAGGAGCCATTTTAAGACTTTAATATCAACAAAACTACACCTCCTACAGTCACAAAGCTTAGTGAGGACACAGACGGTGTCGTTTTCAGCAGATCCATGTGATTAAATGGTTCCAGTGGAGGAAAAGATTTTATTTATTGGCCGCTGAAAAAGGCAAAAAGAGTAAAATTTTCGACAAGGTTGGTGTTGTGACACCATCAAGTTCTTTCTTTCCTACTAAAAATACAGTCATTGGTTGATTCTTACCAACTTTTGAGGCTCTAACAGCAGCAGAATGACCAAAGACATCGTTAATGCCTCTTCCTGTTATATTTCTGGAGATATCAAACCCTGAAAATGGCTTTTGCAGTTTTTTTGAGGGTGAAAATACTAAATTTCCCAGCTCTGAAATCAGACGAAAATCTCAAAACTCAGCCAAAATATTTCACAGAGTTTAGTTTTATGTCTCAAACTACAAATAACTAAACTCTGAAACCAATCTGAGATCCTTTAAAGAAGTCAGAAACATGTGTTTTTACGACTGTGAATGTTTCCGATCGTACGTTCTCGTTGTTGAGTTGCAGCAGTTCTCTTTCAGGTCACGTCAAGCCCAGAATCCTGGCGTCTGGTTTGACAGCGAGCTGAGTTCTGGGCAGCGCACCACGAAGCGCTTGTACAATCATGTTTTTATCGCCTCAGAAATATTTCAAAATCTGATCTTTCTTCACTTTTAAAGACAAACAGATCATCTCTATCTGCTGTTTCCTCATCACACCTGGATTAGTTTAGCAGCATTTTATTTACATCCCTTCATGGTTTCTCTGCTGATGACCTCGTGGTCCCAGCAGACACCTGGAGATCCTCAGGTGGACTAAAGGGGACGTAGCATCTGAAGTCGTGGCCCCGAGGCTCAGGAAGGATCA